CCCCAAAACCCCAAAACCCCAAAACCCCAAAACCCCGGTTCAGCGGAGCCCAATTGAGCGAACGTTCGGTGTTAGCTTAATAACATATAAATATCCTTTTATAAAATATTTTATATCCACGAAAAGGTAACTTCTCAACCCTAATGCAAAGGCTATCTGCGTTATGCCATTAGATAGTAAATCCATACACTTTTGGAGGTCCAAAGCGACCTTAGTGGGGGAATGAAGGAGCGAAACCTCTATCTTAGCTTAGCAAAACTTGGATCTGACTCAATAGATTCTATCATCAAATTCCTTGGTGAGTGTCGGAACTTGTACCGACGGAGATCTTTCAGCTCCTCCCTATTGGGCAGTATCTGAGACAGTCTTGGAGGGCTAAAAAATTAAATTTGAATGATACTCTTTGAGCTTTAGTCTCCTGGGCTTCTTGGGAACGACATTCTTCGCTTTTTGGATAGTTGTCACTTTTATTTTCCTTTTCTTCTTGAAGAGAGTGTATATTAAAAATACTAAACTAGTTAACATAATTTACCTAGTGACAGAAGAGCATCAAGAGCGCTGTTAGAGACGAGAGACCAGTAGATCACTGTTGTTTTGGGATCGCTCCAATCCTCTTCTGTACGATTGAACATCAGGAATATTCAAAAGTACACTATGTATAGCTCATTACTAATTTCTGTAATATTGTTCCGAACTTTTTCAAATGGCCTGATTCATCATGTCAATACTCAATGAGCTAGGCTAATGAAAGAGTAGAGACCCATGAACAGGAACCTACCTAGCACCCTACCAACTAAAGCATTGAGACATGACTTACAGATTATCATCAGTCAGAGGACTGTCCTCCTGGCTAGGAACAGAATTGGCTGCAGTCTTGATAGTCTTTTTTGGTTGAGTCCTTTAAAAAGTTCTTCCTCAAATATTATGTGCTTTCTAGTTTCAGAAGGTTTTGCGAAAATCCAAACAGTCAAGGCAATACTTATAACACAAATTGTGCAGAGAGAGAAGAACACAGAGAAGTAGAATGAGTTTTGTTCTGATCCAACCTCATTAGCTTTGAATCTTCTTAGCTCTGAGAAGGAGCATAGACATAAGCTAATAAAACCTTCAAAAATAAGCACGACATAGATTTTGAAAGTGAAAGCCTTGTAGACTGATCTGAGCAGATTTGTTAATCTGCCTGTTGATTTCTTAAAGCAAAAGATTATCAAGCTAAATACAATATGGGTTATGATAAACACTCCAAAAGTCGCAATCAGGGTATTCAGGTTGATCAAAGAGCTTCCTGAGCTGATGTCTATCGTGTCGAAGTCATCCCTGTCTTGGGGGTAATCAAACCACTCAATAATCTTCCTGAACACTGTGAAGAAGCTCCAGTCAATATTGATATCAAATAGAGCTGAGGAAAGAGATCTGAGATAGTTTACAACTTTTAAGGGTAAGAATATTTCTCATAACAAAAATAACATTAAAAGTTGAAGTTGGTTGATAGAAGAAAATATCGTGCTAGGAGAAGATCCATTCATCAAACCTCCAACAGCCTGAAAGGTGACAGCTAAGGAAGCTGAAGATATCATAGCAGCCTTCATTGTTGTTTCATGATCTGACAAAGGAATGGACTTATAGTCTCTAGTTCAGACACTTGGTGATGATCCATTTCATTTCCATGTTGTTTCTACTGAGGTTCAGTCAGACGAGCATCCATCACCACTCACTGTGTTTCCATCATCACATGACTCAGAACCGTCTATGAAACCGTCTCCACAAATAGGTTTGCACTGATTAGTGGTAGATGAGACTTGTTCATATTTGTCAGGACAAGACACAGAAATCTGTAACGGACTTGTCGCAATATCGTCAGCTATTGCGTAATTCTCTGAAGGAATAGTAATGCTCCCAGATCCAGAGTCCCATCTAAGGGCTAGAGCTGCTTCCCCTCCTGAATCTATCCAGTCTATCTCGAGGTCATATGTCTCGAATGCATTGAAGTGATGTGAGAAGGTATTAGTAAATTCTCCTGGTGTTCCGAACATGCTAATTTTTGCATATCCATTTATTTTTCTATGAAAAGCTATAACACCAAACTTACATGGAAGACCCATCATCGTGAAGCATGGCCATATTATATGTTCCCGATGAGAAAACTGTGATCTTTCCTGTAAACCTTGCAGCAGGATCATTAGATAAAGAAGGAGCTACAACATCAAACCCCCAATCGAAGTCTATGAACCTAACTTGTTAGAAGCAAAACTCACGATGATGTTCCTGTTGCGTCTGGATTTCCTGAAATAATTCCAGAATCATAATATTCTCCTGTGATATCTTGGTGAGCAACACGGAGGACTGATAGAGTAGCATTCCCGATATGGCTCAGTTCTAAATCTGTCGTATAGGTCCCATCTACGTTGTCTGTCAGCTTCTGAATTTTCTCTAAGCCTCTCAGTGCGCTTTGTGTATAAGAAGAAGAGACTCATGCCATACTGGAAGCTCTAGTGCAAGGGTCTGATAGATATGCATAGATATTTTCTCCTCCAGCTGCTAAATCATTCCCTGTTTGATCCTTGGCTTGCACTGTCAAAGTGTAGGTCTGGTTAATGACTAGAGTATCTCCAGCGGTTACTCCAGTGATAGTACTCTGAGTAGTATCGAATCCTAGTGCTAAGAGGGAATTAAATTTGTCATAAACCATGATTTCCCTAAACTATAAGTGCTTACTTGTTCACAGAAATATGACTGTGATTAATAACTTGTTTAGCCTAAATCGACTTTGTTAGAAATATAGTTTTGAAAATAAGTTGGTTCGGAACAAAACACAAAAAATCAAGGGTTTTTTATTATTTTCCAACACTTTTCCTCTAAGCCAACTCCACACAAAAATATGAGCCACAAGGAGGGACTAGGCCTAGTAAAAATGCGCATTTTGCTTATAAGCAGTCATTAGTTCATTTTGGACAACGCATAGTTTATTTGGGGGTATATAATAGAGGTAGAATTACAAGATTCGTACATGATCAGATTTGTCATAGTCAATATTTTATCACCCAAAAACTATTTTATATATTTAAGCAAAGATTGGGGTTTTGGGGTTTTGGGGTTTTGGGGTTTTGGGG